ACCTACCTCAAGGCATTATTCCTTCAAATAAAAAAAATGTATTTAAACAACAGACAGGATACGACAGTATCTTATATACTGAAAAAACTTTATTTTATATCACATATATTCAAAATCTATACTCAAATGACTAACATTTAAATGTATAATTAGACGTGTAAAATATATTTTTAGAATCACCAAAAAGTCTTTCTTTTGTCCCGAAATATTAACAAACATAATATGAGCAATATATATACAAATTATAACGCTCCTTATAAATTCTCAAAAATTTGGATTTCACTATGCATATCATAATATATGTACCTAAAGATAAAAATGCGTACACGACGCGTACTTATATCAATATGCAACTCTACTTGAAATTCACAACAGATGCTTTAACATAAAAATTATCTAACCAGTGCTAAAATATTGTAAATTTTCTATTTACTTCAGAATCATAAACATCTATTGTTCAATAAAAAATATAAATAACCAAAGAAAAATAAACCATTTTATATATTTTCCAATTTTAATGGATACATTATTAAAAACAAAACAAACAGCTAAAAAACTCGCGTGAAAAGATTATGGGTTCAACCTTTGGTTTCCCAGAGTCCAAAAGGACTTTAAAAGTTACGTTTTGTACCGTGTACTATTGCTTATTTAGAATACGAACACAAATTGTATAATCTTTATCGAATGTCTACCAGAAATTTTTAAGTTCAGTTAATTATCATGCAAGCTTGAACTAAATTGAAAACATTATTGTACAGTGTAAACATTTCTTCAGAAAAGCATTATCGACAGGTCTATATTATGCACAATTTAAATAATTAGTAATCATTATTTTTATTTTTATTTTTTACATTTTGGGAGGATAGTGTGTAGTTTGAAAACCAACTAATCCTATGTACAAATACAATAATAAAATTAATATAAAAACATTTTATAACAAACTAATCACTTTTTATGGGTATTATATTGAGTTTAAGTAGTACCTAAAGTGTTTTTAACTAATGGTAATGTTCATTGTTCAGTATAGATTTTTAATAAGTCTACGAAATGTTTTAGCTAAAGGCTATGATACGATGTTTTATAATATTATATTGTATAATATGTATGAATTTCATCCGATTTGTAATAGCCAGTAGTCAGTCTAAAATATGTTAAATAAATATAATAAGTAATAAATGTTAAAAACGAATAAATATAATTCATAAAGGACATACTTAACAACATCAATATGTTAATCAGTAAACTACTTAAAAAAAATAAATATATCCAAAAAAACTCAATTAGTTTATTGAAGAACAGCATTTGAATAGTTATATAAAACCAAAGTTTAATATTCCCAATGTAATTCTACAATAGATAACATTATATATCACGTTCTCCATTAATTTTATTTAACCTCGCGTTCACTTGACATCGGCTATTATAATATAGCAGCCAACTGCATTATTTCATTTAAGGATTTACTAAGGAACTATAAGTTTTTCTATGTTATTGTTATATTGTATTTTTTTTTATAACATATAATACTACGTATGTTTACCAATGCACTATTTTCGTGAAGACCTACTGGTCATGGTTTATAATCAGTTTTTGTTATTTCTAATCGTAATTTAAACAAAGAAACCTAAAAATTCTAAATTTTCAAACTAATAACTTATAATTATAATCACCAGTTTAAACCTTTCTGTTTATAAGCTTTAGTTTGTAAATAATTTTTATTTAAAAATCAACTAATTTTTTAATTTATTATTATTCTCATCGCATCGCGTAATATACAATATAAACCAATTTATATACATAATACTCTTATGATATATTATGTACTTTAATATAAAATTATAATTGGTCAATACAATCTTTAATTCTGGTGAATTATTAGGAAAATGATAAATAATAATTGTTTATATTATTGCATAACGGTTTAAATACTTTAAACCAAAATTCACTTGTTTAGAGTGTATACAAACGCACCCTTGATTCACCAACAACTATACTCTGTGCATGCCAATACCTATGCACCGACAACGCTCAAAAAAAAAGTTTCATACTATAAATAATAAAAAAACTACTATAAAATTAATGAAAAACTGGGATGATAACGAACCTACGGAAGCATGTAATATATTAAATAATTTTTTTTTCATATTTTAACCATTGCAATTAGTTTTTCATTAAAACGAGAACTAACACATAATGTATTTGAATAGGTATTCATAGTAAAATAACAAAATAGCAAAATTAAAATGTTAAAATATTAAAAATAAGAAAAATTAAAATTAAAATTTTATCTCATTCATTCTAAATAATTAGTAATAAGTAATTTTTAATAGTTATATGTATAATAATATCATTAAATTAATAACAGTTTGTGTTGATAATTATTGTAAGAGGAATATTATACTATTGTTTTAAAAAACACTGGTATAGTGTTTTTTTAAATTAAAACAATAATAAACACGATAAAAATAAATAACAATTGTATATTTGCAATGGACTTTGTGTAAAAGACAAAAGTATAAGAAATTAACTTAATATAAATTCAAAGTTCCTTCACTGAGTGACTACTGTATTTTGAAAAACATATCTTTTTTTTCTTACATCACATTCACTTATTATTCTACTATTATTAGAATAGATTGCATAATTTAAAATACTTAAATTTTTTTTTTTTTATTATTATTAAAAATAATAAATGACATTATACTATTATCTAATATACATATATTACTATATATATACTATATATTTGACACATACAATATTGTAAATTTAAAAATTGATCGAATTCATAATGCATTGTATGCAAATCCAATTACATATTAATTGGCAACTATAAATTATTTATCATTGACTAGATTACACAATATTTAAAGCAATGCTATGATTAAAAAAAAAAAGTTATGCTCTTCACTGTTGTATATTGTGTAACTAGGTTAAAAACACGACAATATTCGTGTAATTTAAATTTCATAAAGTTGCATGCAAAAGTTCGATTGAATACGTCAACATAATAGCTGTAAGACATTACCTAGATACAGTAAATAAGTAAATTAGACCAGTGATTGACACACAACTCCACAACGACACTAGAATTCCATACCTAACCACATGGATAAAAGAACAATTTCAAAAATTTCGTTCTAAACCTAACTCAATATCAGAAGCCCTTCACTTCAAAATCGGTAAAAAAAAAAACCAAAAACCGCAGATTTAAGTCACATTTCCCACAAGATACTTTGTCAGAATTTAAATCATCTTCATCATCATTGATATTATCAGAACAATGATCTAAATTCTAAAGTAATAATCGATAATTCATACACATGTAAATAAGTTAAAATAATTTATTTTATTATTCTATTATCTAACTATGCAATTTATTAACAACGGATGTAGTGATACTACCATTTATCCATTTATGTTGTCAAGAAAATTTTATATTTGAATATTTGAATACCTGTAACTGTAGATACAGAGACAAACAAGCATAAAAGTTTAAAAACTATCGATTTAAAAATATTATAATTAATTTCCCCCGTACTGAAATAATAACAAAATCAATATTACGAATATAATATATTATTATAATATTTATTTATGGTTATAGTTTTCATTTAAAAAAATCAATAAAAGAAATTGTATGTGTATAATTTATTTACAGCCATCAAACACCTAAATATATGCATCCATTTATTTTCTGGTTTAGTTCTAATGTATAATATATAAACGGCACTTGGCTATTATTGTCGGGAAAAGAAAAATTGATCACAATTTACTGACCCATTTAAAAATCTTCTCATATTCAACTTATCTAATACATTATATCAAAATGTTTATTTGCTTACTATCTAAATAAAAACAGATAACATTTCACACTCTTCACATTCCTATAGTCTAATATTTTATAGAATTTACATTAGTTTATATTTAGTTTATGGTAAAATCGATAATATTGATCTGACTTAACATGGGAAATAATTTTCTTATAAAAAACTGTACAAAAGTAATTTCAACATAAATATTTTATAAAAATTAAAAATTGTTTAAATAATATTTAATTTGGGAGGGAGGCAAAATGATAAATTTTCTCTCCTAATATTTTTTCTAGAAGAGCAACTGCCCTCTCGTACCCATTCCCCAATCCCGCCTATGAATATATACATGCGTTAAATACTCTGGCTAAGGTAGAAAAATGAATTACTTATCTATATAATAATATCTCACTGATCGATTTGAATGCCTATTAATTACTTCATTACATAGTATAGCCTTAATAATGTAATACATTAGTGCAATCGATAACATCGATACATTTAGTTTAATTGAGCCATCCACAATTATTAATTTTAATACAAAAAAAAAATCCACGTTTTTTTTAAATTATTGCCAATAAAAAATATTTTTTCGGCCAGAAACTTAAAAAATGTAACATAATGTTCTTTATTAATATCTATTATAACTATTCAAAAATAGTAATATTACATAAAAATAACACAAGCCTATATATTCTTATAAGCGTTTTAAGATTACAGTTTTATAAAATTTGTCAATATCATGTACATTTGCAAACTATTCTGTAGGTATCAATATTTATAAAATTGATTGTGACTTTATGGACCAATAATAATAATAATAATAATAATAATTAATACGATTATAAAAACTTTTTATTTAGTAGATGGCTAAAAATAAATAACACGCTACCGCGGATACTGCGGTCAGTTGCTTTTAAATGTGTTAGGTAAAAAAAAAAAATTCTTTGTTCATTTTACTATTACAAATTTACAAAGTTTACACGATGGATTACGAGAGTACAATGCAATGGTATATGATGAATTATGCCATACTAATGGGAGAAATACAATTTACAATTAACCAAGTAAATACTTACTTATATATTAAATACTATCTTATGCTCTATTATAATTTACTGTTTTAGTTATACGGGGATGTAACTAAACAATCTTTTATAGACCTTTAATAAACTTTATGTTTTTCAGGATACAGCAGTTCCGATGGAAGGTGTTATAAATTCATCGGATCAAGTGAATACTTACCTATATATTAAAAACTCTTTTACATACTATTATAATTTATTGTTTTAGTTATACGAGGATACAGTTATGCAGATGTTTCGATTAAAAATTAATGATGGTTGGGATTTTTCGTCAGAAGAAGTGAGTACTTAAGTATATTTTAACACTTGTGTGCAATTTTTTACTAAACAGGATTATTAGATATTACTGTAGGACTTAGAAGTGAATGTGTTCTAAAATTCGTTCAGTGAGTACAGTAACGCACACATTACACAGTATATACCATTTATAGTTGTGCGTGGAGGGGAATAGTTATTTTATGTCAAACTATTACTGTCCCAGTCAGCCTAGCGTAGGGATCTCTCAATTCTCAATTAAATTGGTTAATTAGGATTTATACATTACATTTTGAAATGAGAAAAATTAACTAAGTCATAAACACTTTTAAATACATCGACTATTTGCTTTCATTAATTTATAAAAATCTATTTGAACTTATTTAAGATGGATACGTCGGACGACGAATTGATTTGTCCATGTGAAAATCATCCTAACTATAAGAGTGCTATTCCATTTGATGTTTATTCGTATACAAAATATGAAGAAAAAGTAAATATATCTATCTATTTAATAGACACTTTTATGTAATATTAATTTATAAAAATCTATCTGAACTAATTTAAGATGGATAAAGCGGACGACGAAATGATTTGTCCACGTAGATATGATTCTGATTTGAAAAATGTTTTTCAAATTCGTGTTTTTTCGTTCAGAATAAATAAAAACAAAAAAAAAATCAAAAAAAACCAAAAAAAAAAATACAAGAAGATAATGAAGTAAATAATACCTATCACTTAATAGACACTTATAATAGAACATGTTTTTGTTTCGTTAAATGATTATAGTATCTATAGACTCTTGCTTTACAACATTTTTTGTTTTAATAACACTCCAACGTAAGTTTATATCAAACAATACTATTTCAACAGATCAATTAGATAAGATTTGGTTAGTGGTATCCAATCGGTAAATAAAATAAAATAGAACTATTAGGAGTAATTTTTAAATAAATACCTTCCTGCCTAAAAAATATTCATAATGATTACTATTTATTTTTTATCGAATTATAATAATATACTACTTTTTTTATTACTATGTTAATATATTGATTAATTGTATATATTATGTGATTTATAGGTGTTTCCAAAGAAAATGATTTTGAAAACTTTTTTTGACGTTATACATGTTTTTGAAGACGAAAAAGATAAATTTTTTCTAATTTTTTCTAATTTTTCTAATTTTTTCTAATTTTTTCTAATTTTTTCTAATTTTTTCTAATTTCTTATTATTTTAATTTATTGAATTTTGTAAAATTTACTTTAAACCTGATACTATAAATCCTTGTTAACAAATTTTTTCATCAATTAATATCAATTTTTAAGAAGACATATTTTGAATATGCATAATCATGATTATTACCACTGTTTATGCTAAATTATTAATTACTTATATTCATATCTATTTATTATTCTTTACAATGTTACCAAACTATTATTTGTACACTTTTATTAAAATAAAAATCAATGTTATGAATAATATAAAATATATGTATTTATTTCCCTTTTTATTTATATATATAAAATATATAAATATTTTAATAATTTAAATGATATTATAAATATATGAGCTTTACCTTTTAACGTAGCATATGTATTGCTCTATTATTATGTTGGTTTTGGTTATTTTAGAAATTTTTCTTAGATACTAAGAAGATTGAGTAACGATATTTTTTATTTTTACTACACGGTATAACTTTAACAAAATATATCACATATAATTGTTAAGTTGGCGTTTCCTTTACAGAGCTATGTTGACTAAGTATTTCTCTACTTTTGTTTAATTTGGTCATCGTATTGAAGCAATAAATACAATAAAAACTGATTTAATTCAAAGCTATAGTGTACACAATCAATCTTGAATTTTTTTTTTTTAATTTCAATCTCACAATACAATTTGGTTTCAAGTATTTTGAACATGTAATTTATTATTTAAAATATAACTATATTAAAATGAAAATATAATCCTAATCAATCTAATTAATCTTGTATACACTAAAGTCTTAACGTTGAATTAAAATTAATGTTTAAAATTATTGTCGCTTCACTTCATCGATCGTACAGATAGGACTGATCTGATATATTATGTTTTATGTGTCAATGGCAGTAACAACAAATATAAGTTCTTACTCAATCCTCTAAAATAAATAAGCCAAGTTATTAATTTTTGAAAATATTAAAAGAGATTTAGCAGTCCTTTTTATCATGATTTTCTACACATTTTGTTGAATATTTTAATTTTGCTAATCAATACTAATCTCTCAAAGTACCAACTTGTTGATAAATAAATAAATGTTCTTAATATCATTTAATTTCTTTAGTTCTAGAAAAATATCCTAAACTTGTTATTTTTATCATATTTATCAACAGACTACTGTGAATAAAATTATACTGATATAGTGATATCTAATACGGGAGTTGATCTGTAAATGAATTAAACATTTATTTGCGAGTATCAGAATTTAAATTTCTTATTATATATCAAAACTTTGTATTTGTACATCTGGATTTTTAGATTAAAAATACTTTTTTTTTTAATATTTAAAAATATCCCTTGCATTAACGCTTATTTAACGTCTTATCTTAGAACATATCATTATAACGGAAAGGCTAGTAGATATAATATTGTCTATATTATAAGGAAGTAATAAATGTAACTTTCAAAACTCCTCTTTTGTGTTAAAGGTAAATCATAGTCTAGGTTTAATTGAAAGACATAAACTTATAAAACACTTTCAACGTTTCCGTGTCTGGAAAAATTGTTTTTCAGAAATTCTTGAAGTATGCGGTGACGTAGTTTAAATCCAAAGGAAATTTTCCCTTTAAAATATTATAGAAGAGCACATTATTTCCTATAAAAAAGTCAGAAAAACACCGGTTTAGGTAGTTTAAATTACTGTCAATAAAATATGTTTTTTTTTGTCTAAAAATATTAAAAATGTAATATAAAATTCTTGATTAATGTAAATTTATAATAACTATTCAAAAATAATTACAAAAAAAAAATAACATGGGATAACATATTTTTATATGCGTTTTAAGATCACATTTTTATCAAATTTGTCAAAATCATGAAAACCTAATAAATTAAATTCAATTAATTGTGAATCTATGGACCAACAAAAATAATAACACGATCTAATAACTGTTTGTTTATTTGATGACTAAAAATAAATAAGCGCAACCACAGATACTGCGGACAAAATGCAAGTCAAAAGGAAAGTTTAAAAAGTTGCCGATGTTGAAGATTCTTTAACAAAAAATAATTGAAAACAGATCACAGTAGAAACAAAGTGAAAACCTATATATATAACTATTGATATAATTAGGTGTTCCGGTAAACGTTATTTCGCCATATAAATTAATTTTAATGAATATTTTGGTAATCTATTAAAAAATAACTGAGTTATTGTAAGTGTGTGGGGATGTGGTATACTAGTATATGACTAAAAGAGGAATGGATCACTGAGAACGATGACGGCCTATAAAATAACAATATACCAAATATTCATTTTTTGAATTTGAAAAAAAATGATGTGGTGCGTTTAACATTGGTAGCAATGAACCAACCTTGTGTTAAGCTAGGCTTTAGATTTTGAATGTTGAATTATACTGTTGACCATTTACAGCATCATTTTAAACTATTTCTGTTGCTCCAAATGATGTCATTTGGAAACATGAGTTTAATGTTCGAATTGACTTCAAGAACAAATAAGAATCTGGATCCGTACCAATAAGTAAACTGTTCAGGTTGTGTTTCAATTTCCGGTAGTTGCACTTTTCCTGAACCGCAACACATACTGGCTGGCTCATTTTTAAATTTAAGCGTATTGCAACGCGAACATTCCTTGTCCATGGCACCAATCTTCACTTTCGAATGAGTGTAATATTTAATATCGGACCCATACTCAAATGTGAGACGAAAAAATGAATTTGATGTAAATGCTCGACGTACTTGTTGGCGTTGTCAGTCATCTGCTCTATGTAACGAATTGATGCGCTTTTAAACATCTTTTTTGATTTTTTTCAGCTTATGCCTCACGTAATCAAGCCACGTTTCCACGCATATCTTCATTATCCTGTTGGATTTGTGCTCTTCTGTCTCGCTTTGCTATGTAATTTAAGTCGTTCGACCCTTTGCGTCTTGCTGGCATCATTTATTGTACATTACACATAAATCGATTAAATTGAAAAATCAATTTATAAGCACAAAAATAATTAAACTACAGTATCCTTAATTGTGCATTATTAATTATTTTCTGCCAAAAAAAAAAAAAAAAAAAAAAAAAAAAAACATAATAAATAGTCATGATTTTACACGTTAAATATTAAAAAAATATTTTTAGAGAGCCACCTTTTACACTTAGAAGTATGAAAAATAGTTTACATCACTTTCTCAGACCTACTAAATATACACACAAAATTTCATGAAAATCGGTCAAGCCTTTTTGGAGGAGTTTGGTGACAAACATTTCCCACTGTGAAACGAGATTTTTATATATATTAGAAGATATATATATATTTATATATATATAACATTAAAATACTAAAAATTCTCTAGCTGAAGTAATGCATACTTTATAAATTAATATTTTTTTAGTGAACGAGGATTCGCAATGATATATAGAAATCGATTATCAAGATGCCATCTCAATGGAAGGTGTACAATATTGAATTGACCAAGTGAATATACTTACCTATATATTAAAAACTATCTTACTATTATAATTTATTGTTTTAGTTATACGAGAATGTATCAAAAAATTATTTCATTTAAAAATGTATGGAATGTTATGACGCCATTCAAATGAACACCGTGGATAAATTTTTTTTTTATATAATATATATAACTATACGTAAAATTAAAACGTTAAAATTATTTATTGATATTTTTTTTCTATTGTATCAATACAATTATTTAATAGGTAACCATTGTTGTTATTATTAAAATAATAGTAGGAATCAGTAAAATAATAACTAAGTGTTTTTTTTCAAAAGTTCAAACGTCTTTTATTTAACTTTTCACAAGACGTTCCTTTTTTCACATATATATTTTTAGTAAAAATTCCTGGACTGATATTTATAATTTTTTGTGTATGTCTCTCAAATAAGTAAATCAATAATTAAATGATGTAGCTACAGTGTTACATCTAGCATTGTAAGATCCTATATAAAAATAATTTTGTAAAATTCTTATATTTATTTCAATATAAAAAGTGTCTTGTGTTAAATGAATCACCCCATATCTAATAATTAATATAATACCTTATTTACGTAATACATATGGTCAATTTACAAAGTACAAATATCAAAAATAATTACAATATATATCTATGTGTGTGTGTGTGTGTGTGTGTGTGACATGTGTGTTCCGTTGACCCATCTTCCGCTCATTAAAATGAAAGAGCGTTAGTGGAGGACAATATTAAAATACAATTCACAGACCGATAATAACAATAATATTATACATAAATATTATTAGGCATGTAAATTGGCACAAACACTGTAGGCTGGCGGGAGCAATGTTTATACATCATAATATAATGATTTGCAAATTTGAATTGTGTTTATTCGCATAATAAATAACAATAGGTTACCCGCAAGTATTTTTCAAACAGAACAACTTTAACGCTAATTAGTATCTAGTATTCATTATAATATGATATCGACGTGTAATTATACATTTTACTTCGAATTGCGTAAATATAAGTGAACTATATATGATCTAAGGAGTCCAGATTGTATGTTATTACTCAATTTTTTTTTTTTTAATTTATCCAAAAAATAAATCTTTAACACAACTTCGATATGTCTCAGAAATATAAGTCATTATTATAAATTCATATTATATAATAATTTTATGTTATCTTTCTGTGATATGTATATCTTACACAACATTTTCTCATCGTCATATACCTATTTATATGTAACATTAAGATTTCTAGCGTTTGAAGTTATTAAATGAGAATAATAAATTTTCAATAAGTTTTTTATTTTAATTGTTGTTATTTACTTACTTATTAAGTATTCTAATTAGTACCTATAGCATTTTTTTTTATTCTAAATTTATTTTATAAATTAAATTATAAATATTTTCAATTTTAATTTTATTATTATTAACAATCATACAAAATGTATTTATATGATTGAAGAATATTTCAATTGAAACCAAATATTTTATATTTATACTTTTAATTATCATTAAGTTTTAATTTTAAGTTTTTATCCTATGTTTCAAATTATACTATTCATACCAACCTAAGAATTAACAAAGTAGATGAAACGTCAAAATTACTATACAAACGATTCCGTTTACGACTATAACTAACCACCCAAATCCCCTAATATTAGCACTAAACTCAGACGCCATTCCGTGGAATCCACCTTGCAGACTAAAAAGAAGATGGTGTCGTGATCTAAAATACAATAAAAAATTCTAAAAATTAAACAAATCTTTATATAAAGTCTCGCCATTAGGTGTCTTATTTTCTCACGCGCCTCATGTCAAAAATAGTTTTAATTATACAACCACATACATGCTTATTGTAAATTAAATATTACAGATTGTTTGTTTTAAAATTAAATTAAAAATAAAATTTTTATCATAAGATTTTTTTATAACCTTGAATATAGAAGTGAAATATATTTAGCATTATTATAATGAAGCGTAATTTTGTCAAATACGAGCCTAAATAAAAGAGAAAAAATTGTAATTATTCATCTCCTGATCAGTAATTCAATGATAATACAAAAAATTCTTGATGGCCAAAGAAAAACCTACCTCCCCAACGATCAATATGACATGATGTTTATCTAACTATTAAAAACATAATAACAGAATTATACTATACACATCAATGACTTTAAAAAATATAGTAACCACCACATATGGACAAAAACAAAAAAACATTTTTATAAATTAATTGCAAAAAAAAAAAATAAATAAATAATAACACGTTAACTGCAATCTGTTCCACGACAATTTATTTATAAATCCCGTTAATTCTTGCGTGTTCTCTGGGATTTCCGGTAAATGACGTTACCGCCCGGGAATTTCCCATCCATTACTTCGCTCCAACTCCCAAATAACAATATGATATTTATACGAAATAAAAAATAAATATTTTTACTGCAATGAATACGATTATAGCCATTACGTTAAGTCGGATCTAATAAAATATCGATTTTCTGCGATAAAATAATCTCTTCGTGCCGTAGGCACATGAATGCATAGTTTGAATGTTTGATAGTATGGTAGATATATAGCGTGTAAATATAGTATAACGTCATTCCATTCACTGCATCACTACAAATATATATATGTATATATAATACAGTAGGTAAGTGACGTCTACAGTACGTATTTGTAATACATATTTTCATAACCCAATAATAATGTTTTATTAAATTAAATTGTTATGACGCGGTGGTTACTATTAAAAAATAAAAAACCTTACAATTCTGATGACGCAACACCGACACACAACCGTGAAGTGCGTGTATGTGGTGTGAATATTTTCAACGACGAAGTGCATAGCTAATTTGTTTTCTGGACATCTATCTTCTTATTCTAATGATTGAAAACCGGTACCATTTTTTGATGTCTTGATTCGCCAATATTTATACTGGAAGGCAGCATCGTAATATAAAAATCATACATTATGTATTGCAAACGCATGCAAATAATGTATTAAATGTGACGTACACGGTACATGCGTGTGTTATGTTATTATATAAATAGATGTAATGGAAAAAACTGCAGTACTATAAAATTAAAATATTAAATCGGACGATACCTAACTCTAACCGCGAACATGACCATCTCCCATTTTTTTCTTTTAATTATTAATTTATTCGAAATCTGATTTTTGGAACCATAGTTTTATAGCTTTTGAGTATATTTCAAAAGGATTTTTTTTCATCATTTAAAGAATATTCTGAGGCTATAATAGCGTATTTTTTCAATCTATAATTGTACTTTTTTTCTTGTAAATCTTCAATCAGACGTCTTTTTTGTTTTATTATATAATATCAAAATCGAACGAGTAGCTATTGAGTTATTTAATATAGTATGCTAAGGATAATAGGTTCATAATAATGGATCTGGAATATATTATGAAGGATTTAAAAATTTTATTAATTAATAATAATTTTTCAACACTCTAAAATTTCTAGATATTCTTTGAATATGATAAATACTAGATTCAATATTAGAATATATTTTATATATTTATAAAATAATTTTCAAAGACTTATATCCTTGTTAAATACATTTTAATAGCTACATATCCACTATATACATTTTTAAATAGGTACATCAATATATTAAAAAAAAAAAACTAATTATTTTGCTTGATAATTTACAGTAAAAAAAATTCTTTCCATTTGAAAAAAAAAATTATCTACAAAAAACACTTCTCTATAATAGTGTAAAATCCGACTAATTAAAAATATAATACTTCAGTATACTTGAGAATTTCAATAGTCAAAAAATGAATAAATTAGTTATTAAAGAAAAAAGATGTCAATGAGCATACTAGTGATGAATCGCCCTGTATATATTTTACACACACGACATCATAAAATATTATGCTCAATATCTTATAAATATGAATAAATTATTAAACGCAGCAAAAACTGAAAATATAATGATATGAGCACCCATTTTGTAGCATAAATCGTAATTTTTCAATAATTTTTGCTATTAAATTATTATTATCTTCGTTGCGAGAAATGGTTTCGTAATCATTACGTTTTGTTTATCGGTACATTTATCATATATTATATATGTATACAATACCGATTATTAGCAAAAAATCTCCACGATCTCTGGTAACAAAAACAATAAATTCCAACTACAGTGCATGATAATTCTGAGAAAACCACAATAATATACGCAAGCAACTTATTAATTCTTATTATCAGACACTTATACAATAATATTTTAAAATTTTAAATAGACTAAATACCATAGAGCGTAGGCTTTGTAAGAACAAATCAAAATAAAACTTATTAAAATCAAAAAGTATTTGCTTGGATTACAAGTTTTAGATAATTTAAGTAATTATACAATTAAGAAATAGAAAGTTTTATCATTTTCTGAAAACGCCGTTAGGACAGTGCCAATAAATTATACTTGACAACCATTGTATTAGTGCTTGATTTCATCTAAAATAT